TGACATTTTAGTTTGTCCTGCTGATGCTAATGCATGAATATGATTTTTTCTTTTTCAAAGTCTCTCCAATTCCATTCTAGGAGATACCATTGCAGACTAGTTAAATCTGCAGCTCTCTGTAATTGTTTCAACCCAAGAAAACTATTACATAAAATACGCTGAAAAAGCAGCATCATTTAGCAGAGTGGTTTCTGAATAAGGAAGGATCTAAAAAACACATGAATGGCAGAAAACAGGAAACCTGCAACACAGCAAAAGGTGTTCCTCTTACTTTTTGGCCTTGGTGTCCAAAAGTTTTTGCTGAAATATAAGATAGACAAAATATGCAGGCTCTAGAAATACAAGTATTTCCTAAGGAAATAAAAATCTCTCACTGTCCAGATGCATTCCTTTTAGTTAATAGCTAAATACTGTGAAGTGGGCACACAGTATAAGAATTCCATTTTGTGGAGCAAATGCAGTCCTCTTAATTGTCACTTAAAGTGGAAGTAGTTCAAATAAATCTGTGGTAAATCCAACAAAGGATTTATCAGCTCTTTTCCCAAGGAAGTGCATAATGGCTTCAACTTCTGATGGACTACACCAGGCCTACATGAGAGTGCCTTGGATTTAACCTAACTGGAAAGCAATAGTTGCCTATGGCAAATGTCTGCCTGTCCCGAAAAGCAGCAGCTTCCCCACATCTCCAGAAGCGTCACATTTGAAAGTGAGCAAATGTTGTACCTGTGGTGTCCGTTTTCCACCATCCCTCCTTCCGTACCAGACTGGTGTAACGCCATGTCCAAACCAGCTCCTGTACACAACGAAACCAAGCTGGATCTGGTTCCTGTTCTGAGCCCAGCCATAGCAGCAGTCTTGTTTCATACAAGAGCTGTGCAAGTTTCACCCGCTGGGTACCGTTTAACCAGTGCTGGAAACATACTTATGTGTAGTTGTAACTGACCAAGGCACTAGTAAATATTTTGGCTTTGTGGAGACTATCAGAGTGACAGCTCTGTATTCATTCATCTTTTTGAAATTATTTGTTGCTAATAATGAACAGGCAAGAAAAACATACTTTCACATTTTATGCTCAGCTAACTACTCAGCACTGTTCACTTTAATGTTTTCCATTTTCACTGATCTGTCCTGCCCTCGCAACGTTCCCTTCTGGTGCCCCACTCCCTTTACCAACAGTCTGAACGCGCCCAGGGTGTCTTTCTGCTCTCAAATGTCAAGTTAAGACACTGATTTTTTTTTTTTAGTGGAAAATCCTTACTGACAAAATAGATGCTGGTATTTAGAATGACAGTTCAGTCCCTCATAAAGTTTCCCTTTTTTAATGTTAATGGAGATGTTACCAATTCAAGTGGCCACAGAGTTTCTTAAACCAGGCTGTTGTTCAGTTTTAACAGTAGGAATACATTCTGTCATGGCAAAGCAAAAATGCTTTAAACAAAAGAAGTAACTAAAAGTTTAGCACTCACTATTGGAATTTAAAACATCTAGAACTTCTTGCTGTACGGTGGGTGCATAAAAGCCCAGAAGTAAAATGCGAAAGGGAGCTCTAATGAACACCCTCAGCAACTTTAACCCTTGGGCCTGAAAAAGTCTCTTTTTAAAAATAGGTAAGGTGTTTGTTTTCAAGTCTATTTCACGGACAGAATTCATTACAGTTAGGTAGGTCATGAAGTTATCTCCTCCTAAGTTTCATATGGTGACTATCAGAAGAGAGGAGAAACCCTTGCAACAACAGTTCAAGAATAATCTTGAACTTGCACTGACCTGGCAGAAGCCTGAGAGAAAGCCATGATGGCAGTTTCCTGCACTGCTTGTTAAGTTAGACACACATCTAAATAGAAATGTTCTTTACTTGGGCTGCACTAGGACTTAAACCACGTTTCTAGGAGAGAGCCTTCCAAGCATATCTAGAGACATAACAGCTTTCCTGTTTTGAACTGGTCTTTAAGACTTTTGGCAGTATATGACAAATATGGAAATAATCAGAACTCTCGTATGTGACACTAGAGTACTTGGAACACGTAAAACCCACTCAAAAAAAGGTATCAGGTCACAGGCATGAACTGTTTATAAGTTACATCTATGCTGCATGTTCAACAACTATTTCATGCTCTCCTCTGCATTAAAATTTAAAATTATTAAGGCAGCTTTATTCATAAATAGCAAGCATAATAAATTCTATGGTTACATAAGAAGTTATATAACATTAGCTTTGAAAAAGTCCAGCATAAAGTCAGATTTAAAAAATATTTTCTTGTGCTTTAAACACATTCATCACCTTTTAAACTACCACCATAAGCCATAAAGCCATCATCTGCATCTCAGCCCTTTTAGTTTGGCTCCATCTTCCAAACGCAGGGTTTGTGTGAGCTGCATGAGTCCCAATGCCAGTCAATACATTTTGAAGCCAGAGGAGACTTACGTCCCTGTAGCATGATCACAGTAACTCAAGCTACAGTCTCTTCCTCAGTATTCTATTCAATTCAGTAGCTTTGCTGGAATTACAACATGCCTTTTAGAAAAACCTACAACCTCAATTAAAGTTCCTCATCTCGCTCAAAACTGATGCAATGCTTAAAGTCAAGCAGCTTAAATTCAGGGCTTTTTAAAAATTCAACCATGTTATTAGAGAACTGCAAGGGGCCTATAATTTACAGTTACGTATCATGCTATTTAAATGCAACTGTATTTAACTGGTTGACTCAACTTTGCACCAGTACCGGAAACTTGCACATAGACAGTCTCAAGACAAGGTCAAGATGGCTCTTGCCATCCTTATTAACTCACATTCTTCAATTGTTCAAAACTACACTTGAGATCAGTTACTGCCATCAGCTTCTATTCATCAGGGTTAGCTGTTGTTGTGTACTTAGCTTGGAAGAGTCTACACAGCCCAGCATGTTTAAAGAGAATATTCAACTGGAGCCAGCAGCTTGGGTTTGGAACACTGTTCTATTTTGATTCCAAACCACACATATTTGAACAGTTAACAAATGCGGCAGGGGGATATTGGTACACAGCAGTCTAAAAAATGTACAAATCCTTTGGGTTTTTAGGTTTTGTTTTTTTTTTTTATACCCTCGAAAGAACAATTCGGTTGCTTTGTTATATAAGCACATAAAACCCCTTACCAAACAAAACATGAGTGCAAGGTTGCTTATAGGTGGTGGGGTGTTTGGGTTTGGTTTTTTTTTTCCCCCTCCTACATTTATCTACATATTCTCAAGTACATTTGTTTATCTAAAAAAAGGTTTGATCAGATTTTGTAGACTGGAGAAGTACAGTAATTGAGAAAGGGTTTTCTTCCCCCCCCCGCCCCTCCCCATACGAGGTTGCTGGGTCAAAAACTGTTTGCAGAGTGTGTGCAGACAGTAAAATCATTTCACAGTGCTCGTCTATGACAACAGTATTTCAGAATCTAGTGAAGCAAAAATGTGGTTCACCTCATCTGTCTTAACCTCATCTCTTAATTGACAGTTAACAAGTTAAAGGGAAATGCGTCATATAGGCAAACACAAGCTAGAGATAAGGTTGGCTGGAGGCCCTCCCTTTCCCAGATGCTATCTCATTTGTCAACTGTTGATAACATCATCGCTACTGTGTGTAGGCTGCATCTCGCAGAAGTATGTCAAAACATGAATTTTAAGTATATGTGTATCTTGAAACAAACTATATCAAAACCTCAGCTGAACTGGTAAGACAACCAACAGTACAGCCAGGTGCACTTCTCACCTTTAAATCAATCGATCTGTATAGTCACAAAATTAAGACTCGTACAAGCAAAACAGTAGATGTGTTTTCTCAGGCATGCACTTCGAGTTCTCATGTAATTTTGTATATGCATATGTACTTAACAATTGTGATCCTTGGCCTCTTGGTTTTACAAATCAAGCTAAATACCAAATACATAAGACATATACATGTAAACACAGCCATCTACACAACAAAGTACATCTAGGTTCATTCTTCAAAGCTTCCTGTACCTCACTTACACTTCATCAAGCTTATTGTTCTTTACTGAAACATTGATGGTAGACACTTCAGGATTCCAAGCGTGGCATAATAAAACACAGGAAATGGAAAAGTCAAATGGGAAGACAAAACAAGCAGAAAACCCAACATTGTGCAAACATTCTTCTCTAAGCTTTCTGACAACAAAATTTATTTAGGATTTTCTTTCACCTCTTCAGCAGGCAGGATCTCACGTACATACCACAGGACTTCTTGGCATAGTACTATCATATAAACTCAGCTCTTGGCCACAGAGTAAGAAGAATCTTCTCTCAGAGGACCCTTTTTAGAACTTAGCCCTTTCTTTCTTCCACATTGATAGTCAGTGCTAATGAACATTCGTTTACTTTAAACATAATCATCATTACCTTGTAGAGACCACATTAGCTAGTAACAACACAGGAAAGAAGCCAAAGAGTCTGTTGTGATGTGTGCTGACACAACCACATATGTATGGGTAAACAGGTAAGTGTGTGGACATAAGGGAGTGGACATATCCACACTTTTTGTAAGCAAAAACTATTGTACAAAATGAAAATTAGAAGATAATGATATTATATTGATGCCAGAACTCTTCAAACCTTTGAGCAATTGTTTTTCTACACAGCTAAATGGAAGCTGGAGGTAGAGCAGGGAGAAGAACTCTCTCATTTCAACTCTGCATAAAAATTCCATGGTGGAAGCTTAATCTCATTATATATAGCCTTTTAAAAATTTTTGCTTTAATCTAATGCTATAGCTTAATAATTCCTAATTTTGTTGCAGCTTTTCGATGCAAATTTCACTCTTGTTATAGTATCAACAAATGCCACCTATTAAAGAAAAGGCAAATTGAATTAAACGGGCTACCTCACTAATAATAGTTCATAGTAAATGTGATTAAATTATTGTGCTTTGGGTAAGGAAAATTAATCAGATCAGAAATTGCAGCAGGTATTAATACACATTTTTACAGTATTATTGACCAGAAATATAAACTGCCGACTGACCTGGGGCCACTTAGAGTTGCAGTGTCCCTCACTGCCTGTGCAGTTTCCGATGCGAAATCCAGAGCTCCAGCCACAGGTTTGGTTACTGTGCCAACCAGCCCTTTCCCAAGGCCCGATATGAAACCACTGACACCTCCTTCAGTTTTCACACCTTCGACTGTTGAAGTTATTACACTTGTCAATCCTCCAATGATACCTAGCAAAGACAAGAACAGCAAAGTAGGCCAGAAGTATTGCCTCTCAAAATTACAGAGCCTTGTCACAGCTGATGCGCTGTGCCCAAGGGATTCACTGTCAACCTTGGTAGAAATGTACGGTGCATTTAATGGAATATAAAAACTGTTTCACAACGGATTACATTAGCTAATAACTTTACAATTTATACATGTAGTATACACATGCATACAGACAAGAATATCCCACCAAAAAATACTTTCATTCATTATTAAATAATGTGGTTTTTTTAATATTCCTATACTGTTTTATTTCCCAGCTGTATTTACACAAACAGTCCTCATCTATTCCTGAGGTGAAGCAGTTAGTTACAACGTGCCAAAATTCTATTACCACAAAACCTTACGCAGTTTGAGACAGAAAATAGAAAAGTGCATTTCTCCACTGGAAAAAAGTAAATTACTTAAAACTGGCATTTATTAAACTGTGTGATTTTAACTGTGATGCTGCCGACAAACATTTTTGTGCACATTTCAGTTGCTGAGAATCTCAGTGCTCTGAAGAAACCAAGAACCTACCGAGGCTTCAAAAGACTCGGAACAGTTCATATTATCTGAGAACATGCTTTACAGATTTCTCCACAATTATAATACCACAATTTTTAGTGACCTGGCTAAGCACTCATTTAGAAATGCTTACCACCATTTGGCTCGTCAGCTTTCAGCAGTCAGGTGCTCTTTGAAGGTCTGTTACTGAAGTACAGACCAGGCAGCATCTTAACTTCCAAACTCAAGAAGCACTAAGTATTAAATCACTTCTCTTGAGTAAGTATAGTTTATGGTTAATTCCTGTATTTCAACAGATTAACAGTTACTTCCTTTTTTGAAAAAAAAAAATTGAGTGGGAAGCCTTTAAAATCTTCACAGAATTAAGACTAAACAGTCCCACTAATTACTGAACAATGCAAGACAATGAAGTGCTTTTGTAATTGACTTTTCAGCAAAGACTGACATATTTCAGATTTCCTGCATTTCTTTACAGCACAGTGGGGTGAGAGAAACCTCTCATGATCCATTTAAACACCTACAGTGTCTCTTTATGACAAAAGTCCAGCATAAAGACTTTTGCTCAGCATAGGAAAGATTGCTGGTTTAGTGAAAGCTAGATTATCTTTACGCAGGCTACAACAATTGCACTAAAAGAATGACATTTAAACAAACTGAGTCAAGATGATGCAAAATATAAATATTTGATTTAAACTTGGCTTGTATTGATTTAACTTTCTTGAACAGATAAATCATGAACTAAATTGATGCGAGATTCTAGCCAAATTAAGACGAGTCCACTGCCTTTTACATAAATTCACTTCTCTAGTTCTTAGTAGACTTACAAAAAACAAAACAAAACCACAGAACAACCCAACTGGTGAAATGTTACTTTAAACTCATGTACTGATTCTGAGGAAACTCAGGTTTCTGGAACTGAAAGCAAACATAAACAAGCTACAATCCAACCATACTTGGTTTTTTTTAATGTCTGGCCCTCAAAAAGACTTCGCATGGGTATTTTATGCCTCTACAAAGAAATTTGGGATGAACTTTCTTTGAAATTTCATTTTAATTAGCAAAAAAGCTTTTACTTACATGTGAAAAGACCTTATTCTTAAATGGAGTTTCTGTCAACTTAAAAAACAAACAATCCCCCCATCCCAACCTGCAAGCATCCAAATTCAAATATAAAGCTCATGATAGCACCACTTCTCTGGCTTCAAATAATCACCCAAGAGTAATACAAACTGTTCTTTTCAATCTGATCTTTACAGAGAGAAATGAGTTAAAATTACAGCTCAGGGTTACCATGTGCAAGTCCATGGATTCCAGCTACAAGATGTTCTCCACTAGTTGCAGCATGATATCGAATGTATTCTCGTTCGGTCTGGTGTCTGTTATCCATTGTCTTTCCCAAACCATCCGACAAGGTCCCAGCAAACTGTAAGACAACAACTGTTTGTTATTAAGGGAACAAAAGCTGTTTCTCTTATGTAGATTTACTGAAGAAAATGCCTAGATTCTAGTGGTGAAATACAGATTTATACAACTCATGTTGTTACACATAGTCACACCATGAAGAAAGCTCTGAAGTGCATTAACCTGTGCTTTCTTTCCATTGGGGCAACTTAAATCCAGAGGTGACAGTCAAAAAACAAGCGGGTGCCCAACTGCAGTGGTAAAGCCAAAATAAATGAAGTCTGAGAGAGATGTACCAAAAGAAGTGCCAGTGACCCAACTGTAACCTTTCAAACACTCACAAGAATGTTATTGAGATACAAAGCTTTTCTTCTGCAGAGACATGTGAAAAGCTTCAAGGCAAATAGGCCTGTCATGAAACTAAAACATTTGCAAGAGTTAATTAAATTCTTTTTAGTAACACAACGTAGAAATGGCTCTATTGTGAAAAGAGTTGGGGGGAGGCACGCCATGGTCGTGGCAGCATGGGGAGATCCTCTGAAAGACAGCGACGCTGGTGAGTGTCCACAGGTACCGTACACTGTAAAACAAAAGTCTAAACCCTAAGTGTGTGTGGAGCATTTTTACCCCTTACACTTTTAACAGTATGGTGGAAGACTTGAGACATACAGATAAAAGAGGACATCTAAGTCCAAACAAGATTTGTTCTGAGAACTCTGACCATTACCGAGGACCAGTCAATGAAAAAGCACCAAATAAAAATGATCTATTGTGATCTGTTGACCTTTAGTTTGATGTAATCAGATACAAACCAGAAGCTTGGGGAGGGAGGGAGGCAAGAAAAGGAGACAAAAAAACCTGAAACCTTACTTCATATTCAGGGTACTAGTATAGACAAGGACTCCTGGCAGGCATTTTCCTGGAACAACCTCCAAATACTAGCTATTTTTTGGTTATGTGTAGTTGTTCATCTTCTGTACCTCTCTCAACTAGCATCAGCATTCTTACAATCTTCTTTCAATAAATGAACATGAACTTTTTGAACAAATGAACTTTTTTCTTTTTCCCCCTAAAGGAAAGATCATTAAATGCTTTGTTGTGTCTTACACTACGGCTGGAGAATGTACCGGGTGCCACAGGAATATCAAAGAGACTTGATGGCTGCAGCAATGGTGAAACCATTGCTGCCCTGCAGGATCACAGCTCCTCTATAACAAGTACTTAAGAACCGTATATGGACACTGCCCAGCTTAGCTTTGCTGCATGTACTATCTCCTTTGCATGCGTACTAGTTATGTTAAAAAACCCCAAGCGATTAAGGCGTGCACCAGAAGACAACTAAAACCCAGTGCAAAACTGATCCTAATACAGTAAAGAAATAGACAAAAAAGTTAATTCATGTGCTTGATGCAATGACAAAGTTCTCCTCCTTTTTCTGTCATTTTTTCCAAGTCTGCGTTTCTTTTTTACTAATGACATGATTTCCTAGTTTTAGATGCTTCTTCACAACTCAAAGACAAACTAGTATAGTGGCTCCAATTATCTAAACAAGTAGACTTTAACAACATGAACGAAAATTAAATCCCATGACCCTTCTTGTGACTTGATCATATGGACACTAAGCAGAGCATAGTGATCACTGACTGAATTACTCCTGACCTCTTTGTGAACTTAATGTAGATGATGGGGTTTTTTTAAAATCAGCCTAGAAAATACAAACCAACCTGAAGCTATCTATTAACTGTGTTTAAGGTTGGGTTTTCTTCTGGACAAATACTTTGCTTTAAGAGGATTAGAGTAGTTGCTATAAAAATTAAACGGCTCAATAGACCTTCAGAATTCAAACCTCATTGTGGAATCTGTCGAAGCCTGAAAAATCATTTTCAGGAACACATTTTGAAAGTTAGATTAGTGCATGATCAGACAACCAGCCATAACTTATTAATACTGATCAGAATTGGTAAGGTCTCTTACAGCTTTGGCTTTCCCCCTCATCTAAATTGGCCAGGTCCACAATACCAGCTTTCCCAGTAAATGCAATCCAGCCTTTCCTCAGATTTTCCTTCCTCTGTGAAGCAGAATCTGACACCTAGTAGTCAGTAACAATTCTGGTTTAGTATATAAAAAGAATTTTAATGTAATAGTAAATTATTCCCTTAGTAAGGAGGAAAAAAAGAAAAAATCACACGCACACAGTTTAGAAGTCATAGTCTCCATTAACTGTAAACGCAAAGTTAAATGGAGACATTTTTGTTCGTGTTATTTAGAAAATAACACTGAATCACAGCTGTACATAGAACAATTTAAGGATTCTAATACACCAAATGTACCATGAAATGTTTCCATTCTGCCTTGACTCAGGTGACAAAATCTAAACTCCACACACAGTAATGACAGAACATGAACTTCACATTGAATTACTTTTTGACACGCCACCTCCTCCCTGGGTACTGTTTGTTTTCTGGCCTCATTTAACAAGGACTGAAGCCAAACTTTTGTAGCCAGCTGTACCATTTGTACCTAAAGCAAGGGGTTACCTCAGTGACCCCACATGAACAGGTCCCTTTGGAACAATTTCCAGCTGGGGAGCTCTGCAGGACTTTTCCTGCTCTGAGGTAAAGAATGGGATGTGATCAAGCTTGCCGGAGAAGACAAAACTACGGAGACATTTCACAGGCGTTAGCAAGTCACGTTAAGGTCTGCTGGGCAAGTCAGCAACTCGCCATCTTCTGCTGTGAAGTTAGACTCTTATTTGCTATGAAGATTCAGACTGTAGTGTCAGCGTTTTCCTGATTCATGACCTGAATGAGACCTACGTCACCTCTCACTTTACCCAATATAGATGATCCCACTGGAGTGAAATAACTGCTGGCTATCAGAAATTTGTAACTGTCCTTTTCTGTGCACCTCAGAAATACTTTCACTGAAATGGTTTCTGAAGCCTATTTCAGCAAACAGGATTGTACCTATCTATACCAAAAGCAAAAACAGATATTTCTAACAAAAAACCCCAAACAAACACCCACACTGCACCTTAGGCCCAGTCTGTGTAGATTATAGTTACTGTAGTAAGAAAGAGTTACTCAGCAGTGGCAAGTTATTTCAGGATCACAAACATGAGTAAGCAAATCGGACATTTAAGCAGTTTAAGCCCAGCTTAAGCACTAACTTTGAAGGAAGATTTGAACAAGTTAAAGCACAAAAGCAAACTTGCCTTTTCCCTCAAAAATGTCTTGCTTCTAGATGCCTCCTTTGAGAAGTACAGTATTAGATATTGAGATTAAGATATTAAGACGTGTGGAAGAGCCGTGGTGGTGGCCTATGGAGCTGTTAACCCGGTCACGCAGAAAATAGTCTCCAGATAAACAAAGGTGACAACAAAAGTGTGATCCACCCTTGTCTTCCTTTGCTTTTGTTAATAAGGTGTGACCTGATAACTTCAAAGCCTACTTAAGGCCATGTAAATGCCAACATAACTAAATACAACGGCCTGTGGAACAAACATGAAACTAATCAAGGGACTTCTAAAACCCAGTCCCCCTCCTCCTCTAGCCTAATTTTCATAACGAGTTCTTTGTCTACTTGCTGATGGAAAAAAAAATAAATTAGAAACTTGGTCTTTTATCTCTGCATTTTTTCCCCATTTGAGATACCATTTTCCTTGAAACAGAATTGCAACACGATACATCAGTATCAGCTGTTTCCTGCTTGCTACCCAAAAGGCACGAAGGTGTTAGTGAATGAAGCCAGCGTACACAGTAGGCACATGTAAGCAGGCAGGCATTTTACTTGTCAACCTGGATCTCTAAACAAAGCGACATATGGGTCTTCCAGACTACTTATTAAAAGTTCTGTCATTTCAGGTCCTAAAAATACTTAAACTTATCATTAATATGCATTGTTTAATGCTTTGCCTTACCCATTCTGCCTGAACAGAAAAAGGAGAACCTCTCCAAAAAGCTCCAGTCATCTTAACATTTGCCACCCTTCATTCACATCCTTCTCCTTTGTCCCCGAAGGAGCTGGTACTTTCTGCATTTCCCCTCTATGGAGAGACACTGACCTTTTCTTCCAGGTCTACACTCTAAAGACACTACATCGCTGGTTTTCATCCCACACTGGTTCATACAGGACGTGTGTGTTTGGTTTTCTATTTCTTTTTAAAGGCCCCAAAATGAAGGACATTTTGCCACAAAAACTTTTACCTCTGACTATGTATCCTTTGCTGTTTCAAGCAATAGAAGAAAAACAAGAACACATACGGTGTTTGTAGATCAAAGCTGGTGCCAAATAATAAGGCTTATGGGGCAAAAGGAGAATTCAAAGCAAATGAAAACTAATTCTAGACTTTGTACTGCATGTTCCCTCTAAGCCAGATGCATGAAGCACACAGCATGGAAATAAGTTTTAAGTAATCTTTTAAAGGCTTTTTAAGCTCTTGGCACTGCCTGGTTCTCTAAGGACATCCCAAAAGGATAAATACACAATTATGACTTTAGTCCAAACATTCCATTGTAATTCTAGCATCAGAGAATGGTACACTTACAAATATTATTGACTGAGCAAAGCAGAACATTCCAAGGTGGAATTTTAAGGGAAAAAGTGATGAAACTAAGTATAGGTCAGTTATAACTTCTGTGCAACCTCACAAGGAGCTGCATTTGGATTGGGAATCACGGGGTTTGCTCAGTTCTCACCTCTCCTTTGCTGAATTCCTTTGTTGAACTCTCAACTCTCGCCCCGAACCACCTTTCAAAAAACCCCTGAACACCACGCATTGATGATGATCATACTTTTATCTCCAATAATAAAAAATGGTTCTCAGAGACAAAAGTACAAATTTGAAGTATGTTATTTGAGCAAGGTAGATGAGAGTACTTAAAATTTAAGTCAGAGAGTCTAATTTAAACTTTGAATTATGTAATCTTCAGTTCTCACACACACTCTTCTATTTTCCAAAACAGGAAAATCCCTAGTCACGATGATTAAAAGTCATTCCACAGTTTCAACAGTAACTCCCAT